ATTTGGCAATTTTGACGTAACCACTCACTATCGAAATCACGATATATTATCGTTAAAATCACTAACCTAACCACTGTTAAAAATCATGAATCTAACCACTGTTGAAATTACGAAGTTATCCACTGTTGAAGTCGCAAACAACCACTGTTGAAGTCACAAATCAAACCATTGTTGAAGTTACGAACCTAACCAATGTTAAAATCACCAACATGACAATTGTTGAAATCACGAACCTAACGGATTTTTTATAGGTGTTAATATGCTCCATTGTAGGTTTCGCTGTTTTCTTTATTCATTGGATTTACGAAAAAAAAAATTTCTAAAAAAAAAATCAAAATAACATGAGTAATTCGTATAATAATAGCATCTTCCTAGTAACTATTGGCCGTAGTCTTCAGAACATGAGGATCGTCACATCCTGCAGTTTAATTTACACCCTCGTATTCTAAACACTCGATACTCAATGCGAAAATACTCACATTCGTGAAGGTCTACTGCCGTCACGACCATTTTGCGCCGATGCCTATAAACGAGCTTTTTAGGATTTGCGAAACTACGAAGAAAGATATTCTAAAAAAATAAAATTACAATTAATATGAGTAACTTGTATCATCTTCCTAGTAACCATTGGTCGTAGTTTTCGGAACACGAGGGTCTACACAGGCAGATTGGTCGTCACATCTTGCAGCGTAACTTACACCCTCATGTATGCTAAGCACTCAATATTCAATGTTATATTCGTGGAGATCTGATGTGAAAGTTGATATGACGCCACATAAAATGGCGGAAACATATTCTGACCTCTCTATTTCATTGGCGTTATTAATTTGTCTTGGTGTTTGAATGATCTTTAAAAAAAAAAAATAATAATTAGCATTTTATTCACCTATATATATGACCCAAAACAAAATCTAAAACTAAACCTAATATGAAATCTAAAAATGATTTGGCTTTAAAATTGAATTTCAAATTATATTTGGAAACTTACAGCTGTTCTTCTGGGACAACAGTTCAAATTGTATTTGGAAACTTACAGCTGTTCTTCTGGGACAACTAGTAAAAAATTTATAATTATCAAACCACCGAAGTTGTTAAAGATAAATCAAACGTAAGATAACAAGGGTAGAGTTGTCACCTTATAAGAAGTGGTGAATGGTCTGGTTGAAGTGGTGGATGGTCTGGTTGAAGTGGTAGTAGAAGATTGGGTTAAAGAAGTGATAGATGGTTGGGTCAAAACAACGATAGATGGTAAAGTGATAGATGGTTGGGTCGAAGGTGTGGTGGATGGTTGGGTCGAAATTTTGTGTCATTGCTGATTAGGTTAGATTAGAATCTTGCAATGTCGTGATCGTTAACTCGTTCTAGGATATTCTATCTCACTAGCAGACAGTAAGATCAAAGGAATTATTGTTCTAAAAGAAACAGTTTCTGAAACGGGTATGAAGATAGAAGCTCTAAAAAATTTCACAGTTTAAAACCTTTTACAACGTGACTTATTTATCCGAAGCGAAAAGAAAGTTGTAAACCACGAAAACTGATTCCAAACCTCAAACTAACACTAATCTTTAAATAATGGGTTTAACTTCTGAATTTAGTATTGTAATATTATCCATTCGACAATTAAAATCTGGTCTTCTAACCTCTTTTGATTTATCGTTATATTTTGCTTTTGTATTGGAAGAGCTTAATGTATGTTTAAAGGTATTGATTATTGAATATCCTATCGAAGAGTAAAAGTTAGAGAGTTGTCTCTTTTACTATTAGCGACAACAACCCTTTATATAGCTTTTCACTAATGCTAGAAAACAAGAAAAGCCATCACACAAAAATTAAGCAATGATTTTTAACTCTAACTACTTCGAAAAGTATAATAAAATAAAAATAAACTTTGTACCATTGGTGATAAAAAGAAAACAGCCAATCAGTGAGTTCAAATTCAATGACAACGACAATTTTGCCAACGCGCTCATTGCTCATTCTGCACGTTCACCTCCGTGATTTTTGACCAATCAAATTTCAAGATCAGGTGAAACGTAAACAATCGAAGCGAAACGAAATTTTAATTAAGTAACCACCTGCTGTCTAATTAAAAATGCTCCCCACGAAATTTTACTATTAAGCGTTTTAACCCTAGCCCAAACTACAATGCAGTTTTATTAAATTACAGAGGTGGGCAATTTTTGTGGGAACGCTACCTAAAATTATCGATCAATTCGTGATTCCACTTCACGATTCCATTTCAGAAAATCACATTATTTAATCAAATTTAACAGAGTATATATCATAACTATGAACCATAATATTCAGGTCAATACGAGAAGGTTTAGAAAGGAAATTTTTTCCAAAAAAGATACAAAAACATATATATATATAAGCATGTATCTGGACTACAGTAGCTTGGCTACATGTTGGGAGTGGCGCGAATGTAGAATATTGAGTAGTGGGCTAGAATATTGATTATGTTTGTATTACACATATTTACATGGGTCATTATTACATAACGATATACAATTGGTAATTTGTAATAAACATCCAGTAAGTTCAGAATCATGCCCCGATTTTGTTGTTATTACTGTATTAACGTTAAACAGAAATTTAAGGCCATAAAGTATTAAAAAATAAAAAAAATAATAAATAGATATATATGTATACTACAATACTGTACATATATATATTATAATTTATTAACTTTTCCTACTTTTTTTTTTAAATAATCTAATATAAACTTAGCGCTACAATCATTAGAAGCAAAATGAAGAATAAAATCATCGTTTTTCCAAACATCAGGGAATGATTCGAATGTATGGTCACCATGATCTAGCAATAATATCTAATAAAAGAATAAAAATAATTTTAGTAAGGTTAATAAATTTTTTTTTGGATTAATTGTCAAATAAATTGAACATACATGATCTCTTAAACTAGGATATTGATTAATAAGTTGCCCCATGGATGCTTGTCCATCACCATGCAAAACTTCTATTTCTTGCACTTTTTTCAAAAATTCAAAACTCCATTCAGAATTCTTAATCAAAAACGCTCCTGTATTAAATATTGCATCTTTTTTAGGCTTAGATATTATAAAATGTATTCTCTCATCAAATAGTTTCACATCATCTTCAACTCTTTTCTGTTTTACGAAACCTTTTTCATCATCATCATCATCATCATCTTCAACATAATCATAATCATTATCGTCAAAATCATCCTCTTTAAAATAATCGTAATACTCTTCATCTTCGTCAAAATCATAATCAAATAAACTTTCATAACCATAATTTATATCATCATCGTCAGCATAATCCAACGGACCTCCTTCATCGTAATATCTTTCACTATCTTCAAGTCTTTTTTGATGAACCATCTTTTCATTTTCAATTATTTTTTCGTGTTTAGCATTGTTTTTTGCATCATTCTTATTTTTTATAAGTTGGTAAAATCGAGTAAAAAGTTCCAGAATAGAAATCTCTTGATTTGTGATAATTGCATCATTATCAATCCAAAGTATCCAATCATAATAAGGTAAAACCTTTTTTACCGCATCAATTTTTCCCCATAAATTTAGGTGTAATTGAAATTCTAGAGATCTTGGAATAAATGCGTAACCATGTTTTTGAGCATAGGTTCGTTTGTTTTCTGATAAAATGTAGGCTACGTCTAACATTGATGGGGAACAATTATTAATATTGTCATAGAAATAAGAACTTGTTACTATAGCTATTGATGGTTCTCCATATAGTGGAACATGAGGACGACAAACAGGTATGGGTGGAATTAAAAGGTGAATAGAAACTTTGATTAACTCATCTTCTGAGGATAGTTTTCTAACCATTATGGTTGATTGTTTAGGAATTAGGTCTAATCTTTCAGAGAAGATGATAAATCTTTTATCATCATTAATGAAAAGTAGTTTATCCCAATTATTTGAAAAAGATCTATGTTTGCTTTTTGTATATAAATAAGCATGAGTGATTATGTTTTGATTATCAGGCTTGTTAATGACGTCTTTATTAGCTAGGATAGTATGAATGGCTTTATTGCCAAGAATTACAAAAATATCGTCAGCAAATGAATCGTCAAATCGACCCCATATAAGATATTGAAGTTGAATTGGAGA